CATCGTATAATTTCAAATAATCTGTACAGATTCCTTCAGACGTCGGTGGCCGCATATTTATATATAATAGTGCCACATCAAATTGGTAATCATTTTTGCCAATCAGCGTCAGAGCATTGTCACAATTCTGTTGGTAATAATTGTTATCAGGAGATTCTTTGGACTGTGACACGATACGTTCTATGTTGTTGGTCTTCATATATTTTTCGATAAGTTTCAGGTCCTCAGAACATTCAGGTGTCTGAACAAAGTAGTCAGCTGAAAAAAAATTAAAGAAAACAAAGAACTGTTGAATATAAATTTGGCAAAATTTATTACAAAGATTTACATTATTCGGACTGTTATCCTCATCTTCATTGTCATATTCACAATGTTTTGCTCATTGTACACTTTCAGGTGATTGGAATTTCAAACAGAACCCTTTATTTCATCCACTGGGGTAGATTGTTCTAGTTCCATGTGCCATACCTCTTCCGGATGTCTCAGTTATTTCCCTTTAACACAACTCTTGAAGTTTTTTTGATTCACCACTGCTGTAGCCTGGTAACCAACATCTTTATCCACTGGGCCATGTGTCTTACATATGGCCCAGTGGATAAAGATGTTGGTTAGATCCAGTGACTAGACCCAAAATGTTGGGAGTTCAATACCAACGCTTTTGGGTTAAGTTACTTCAACTGGTGCTTTTATTTATAAAATAATTGGCCACAGGAGTGAAAAAAAAATACTTGGAGAGTTGAGTCACTAAAAGGAAATAACTGAAACTAAGATATCTAGAAAAGGCATGGCATGTGGAACTAGAACAATCTACCCCAGTGGATGAAATAAAGGGTTCAGTTTGAAATTCCAATGTATATCACCTGAAGAAGGCAGGTGTATAATGGTTGAAATGTCATGACTATAGCAATAAAGATGAGGACAACAGTTCGAACAATGTAGACAGTGTAAATAATTACAATAGCTCATCTCAGAACAGTTTGAACAGAATTAAATAACCTGGATCCTGCCTGGGACCAAGGAGGGACATTTATTCATTTTTATGTTTAAATTAAAAAAAAAAAAAGTTGAAATGTTTAGGATACACATGAGGAACGAATGATGTATGGGTAATAAACTCAGCAGCATGCACAATGGATCAGCAATCTTAGCTACAAATCTGTTGCATTCACTTTCACACTAATAACCTTGGGAAAGGCACAACTCCATTTTTCTCCTCTTCGAACTATGGATAATATAGCAAAATATATAGAGTGGCACCTCTCTACCCCCAAAAGGTTTAATCTTATTTTTTGATCATATAGAGGGCAATGGGACACTAACAGTGTTCCTCTATCTTGCCCAAGAAGAGGCCATGGCAGTTCCAAGGGAAAGGGTGGAGGGGCATAGCTGCCTACTTTTCTAAGAGGCTGTGGCATTAAGAAATATGAAAAAGTTCTCTTGTTTAATCATCTCTATAAAAGAAAGAAAAAAAAATGAAAGGAAGAAAGGAAGAAAGAAAAATTTTCTTCCCAAAACTTTTTGGTGTATATCAACAATTGTTCCTCAAAAAACATTTTCTAACTCGTGACAGATGTGTTAGAGACATCTGCAGAGGCAAACACTTTTCAACAGGAACTTAGCAATTTTACAGAATCATGACAGAAAAGAAAAAAGTATTAAGCAAAATTCTTAAGATCAGGTATGAAGGAAGGCTGTAGAATGCAATCGGCCTACACTTGGAGTTAAAAACAACAACAACTAGGACAACAGTCTGAATAAGATATGAAATAATGACCTCTCTCATTATGTGTTTCAATTAATTATAATTATAAAATGGATGAGTGGATAGTGTAAAGGTTATCAGCACATAAAATGAAATTGGGAAGCAGTATTCAAATTTTGGGTTAGTCTGTTGCAATCACTTTCACACAGATACCCTTGCAAAGGACATAAATCCATCTCTTCTCCATCTGCTATGGGTTAAATAGCTGAGTAGACTAGGCTCTTTAGCCTTATTTTTATTTATTTATTTTTTTTTAAATCAGTTCATCCCAAGCAAGGTGATAATACCACTAAGGGTCTATCGAGAGTGAAAGAGAATGAGAAGACTCTAGAAGGAACCGGAAAACTACTACTAAACAGGAAAAAAAAAAAAAAAAAAAAAAAAAAAAAAAAAGGGAAAACCTCTACTTCTGTTCAAGAGACCGGGGAGGTGTGTGAACTGGATGATAGCTGAACCTATCTACTTCTATTGAGAGAACAATAAATAAATAAAAAGGATAAATAGTAAATTAAGTTAAGCAGTTTAGACGAGGCCAATAGAAATATGTTGAAAGGCACTAGAAAACCCAATTCTAAACAGTAAAAAAAAAAAAAAAAAAATGCATAAACCTCTATTCCTGTTAAAAAAAATTCTAGGAGGAGTTAGCAATCATTTTCAGAAAAAAAAACCCCAAAAAACTGAATACTAAATCATGTAAAAGACAACAGGAAACCTACCTTTCCCAAGAATTAATGGAAATTCATTAATAAAGAAAAGGAAATTGTGAAAAGTGATGATCACTTTAGAATAAATAATGTAATTGTAACTGTGCAGGTAGCTTAATGGCTATTGGTGCTGAAAATGTAATTTGTGAGGTTAGTTCAAATTCTGGGATTGTTGAATTCACTTTCGCACAAGTACTCTTGCATAAATTTGTTAGGTTGTGTCGTCACTGATTCAATATGTCTTGTGAGTGTTAAATTCTCTAAACCCTCTTTCCTTATTATGCATCTCAGAAATCTTTTAACTTTTTCTGGTTCTTCATACATATGCTCTTTTTGTTCCCATTTTTTCTTAAAACTTCCTTGTTGCTCACATCTCCATGGAAGTCCAAACACCCTTCTGTAGAACGACATCCCTGTGGCTTCAAATCCTTACCCCATCTCTCAGGAAGCCATCCAGCTGGATTTAAACTCAACAGCAGGCAAACATTCAATTCTTTAGTTCTAATTAAATTTTACTCCAAGAACAATCTCATGTAGTTCTACAGAAGGATGCTGAGAATACCATGAACTGAACATGGGAACAATGGTGAAGTTTTAGAGAAAATGGGGAAAAAAAAAAAAAAGGACACATACTGAAAATGAGAAAGTTGAAATTTTTATGGTATATAATAACATAAAAGGGCTTGAAAAATTTGATATCCATAGGACATAGTGACAGCAAGAGGGAGAAGAAAAAAGCACATAGCCTATTGAGTGAGCTTGTGGAAATGGATGTCAGAACAGGGTTTAGGAGAGATAGCAAAAAGATAAATTTTTCTAAGAGCTATAAAGGGCTGGTAATTGTGGAGAGCCATGATTGACCATGTCTTCAAAGTACATGGCCCATAGAAGAAAAATTAGATTCAACAGCCCTAATGCCTAATTTCAAACTCTGAAGCAATGTGTTTATGTTTACGTTGGCTGCACTTTCAACCAGAATCTACCCTTACAAATACATCTACTTTAATCCCACTACAGGAGTTAGCAACAGAAAAAAAAAATGCAAGGCCAGTTAGAAACAGACAGAAATTGATGCATTTTTCATCTCTATCTATAAAAGGCAGGATGTGTGTGTGTGTGTGTGTGTGTATGTTTGTAACGAATGCACGGCTGCAATTTTCGACGGATTTGCACCAAAATTTACATGCACATGCTCCAAGTTAGCCGAAAGGCCAAGACTGACTTTGCATTTCCCAACTCCCATCGATAGTGGAAATAATCGATTTTTTCATGCTTCTATGGCATTTTTCATGTAGTTTGCGGCCATTTTGTACTGGCCAGAGTGAGAGCCAATAGCTGGCTGCCACGAATAGGCAGGAAGATTCTATTGGCCAGCGTGAGAGCCAACAGCTGATTGACACGAATAGGCAGGAAGATTCTATTAGCCAGCGTGAGAGCCAACAGCTGATTGACACGAATAGGCAGGAAGATTCTATTGGCCAGCGTGAGAGCCAACAGCTGATTGACACGAATGTTAACTAGCATGCTAGCATGCAAAAAAAAAAAAAAAATATATCGATAGCTGCATTCGTCAAAAGTCGGAAAAATTTAAATCTGCATGGCACTTTACTCCAACTGGCTCATTCGCTTGCTTAAACTCAACGTTGATTCTGATTCCGCAGAACTGGGTTGGGTGTGAAAAAGTATTTGTTGTTAACATTCTTTTTTCATTCGGTTTTTCCAGTTACGAGTCCTTTTTTAAAGCTGATCGTTTTGTGTTCATTTTGTTTAGTTCTTTTTTCGTAACAGATTTAATGTTTAGTATAGAGCTTAGAAATCATCAGATTTCAGTACTTGCTTGATTGTAACATCTCCAATTTGTTGCTTGCATCTTGGGTTGTCCCTTTTGCTAACTTTATTACCAGCTATAAAGGACAGGAAATCGTGGAGAGCCATGATTGCCCATGTCCTCAAGGGCACGGCAAATAGAAGAACTAGATTTTCTCGTTTCATAATGTTTTAGATTTTGGAAGGCATGTTTTGTTGTTCCAATGGGCCATCAGATTTCAGTACTTGCTTGATTTTGACATCCCCAATTTGTAGCTTGCATCTTGGGTTGTCCCTTTTGCTAACGACCATACAATCTATCTTCTTAGAAGTGGCGGTTAGTCCTTTCTTGTTTTATGACAAAGCCAAGAAATTATCACAACTACCTTTGCGTTTTTCATCAACACTCATCTCTCTAACTTATGTTCAAATTTTCTTTTAAATTTCTTTGTTGCTCACATGTTCATTTCATAATATTCTCAGCATCCTTCAGTAGAACAACATTTATGTTGCATAAAGTCTCCTCTTTGTGAGGAAATTATCCAGTACTCTTTTGTAATATAGGAGGATTGATATTACATAGCAGTTCCTGCCACAGTATTCTTAGCGTGCTTCTGCAGAACCACATCTCTGTTGCCTCAAGTTTCCTTTACATCTGTCAGGAAATTGTCCAGTTTACTGAAGTTTACCTGAATCAACAGACCCCTGAAGAAGGCCAGAGAGCACAAAGACTGAAACGCTGTAACAGTAACAACAAAAGAGAAGAGGTGTTCAGACAGAATTACTTGGAAGAGTCAAGCAAAGAGATTAAGCGAATTGGAAATCTGTGCCCTGCCCAAAAAATATATATATTAGGATCAACCAGATGACTTATGTACTATGTCTCTTTGTGAGATTAAACGTAGTAAAACTGTTTTTTTTTTTTTTTTTTTTTGGATATCAGGAAACGAAGTTATCTATCTTGTATGTTTATGTTTCTTTACAGG